AATGGCAATGAAATTTTGATGGGGATTTGCAATGATTCTGTAGACTGCTTTTTGCAGGATGGTCATTTTTATAACATTTATCCTGCCAATCTATGAGCATGAAAGGTCTTTCTGTCTCTGGTATCTTCTTCAGTGTCTTCAGTGTCTTAGTTTGTGTTCTATAAGTCTTCCACTTTTTTGGTTAGAACTTTTTCTGGGATTATTTGTTTTTTAAGGCCACAGTGAATTTGATCTTTTCCTGATTTCTTCCTCCTTATTGCTTTCCTCTTACATGCTTTCAGTGTGTGCTGTATTTGGTATTGTTTATAGTCTTCCATGAACAACAAAAGGGGCAGTTCCCTCTCCTCTGTGCTATGACATGGTTAGTGGCCTGCTGAGAACATACGTGAGCTCATTCTTACTCTGATCTTGAGATCACTTGGTAGTCCACCCCAATACCACTTCGCTGGTCTCTCTTCTATCTCATTACAGCCTTTCCTTCTCTATAGTCCCTCTCCCCAGATGAGATTAACCAGCCAACCTCCTACGCTATCTTGAAGCCACAAGTCTTGTGAGAGGCCTTCTGGATAGGGTCAGTGTAAACCATTGAAACTGTGAGAGCTAAAAACAAACAGTGTTTTAAAATTAGGCTTTCCAGGCCGGCCGTGTATTTCAGGTGTAGGGCACTTGCTTAGTGTACTCGATGCCCTGGTTTTAATCCTCATCATAAAAAACCAACCAGCTAAACAAACTCTCTCCCGAGTTACTTAAGAACAGGCAGATTTCTGTAAGAAATATGACAATTCTGGTGAAATAATAGGATGTCTTTTCATATAATATGGCTAAATGTTAGTGTTTTATGTGTTTTAGACTTTTTCTAAGTCTGATAGAACAGATTTTTAATTCTCAACTACTTGTTGTTTCTCAACTTTAAAAATTAATAGTAGATCCAGTTATTTACAGGAAACTCATAGTTACAATAATACCTTACATTTAACTGAACAGTGCAAATCATATTGTCATTTTGCAGATATCATTTCCCAAAATAATGGGCTGAAGGTCAGTGAACTCTGGTTATAAATGGAAACGCCTAAAGGAATTGAGTCATCAACTAGAGAGAAAGTTAGGAGTCCAGCTTTATATTTGACCTTAATATGTACATATTATATGTATATTATACATATATGTCTTATTGTTATGGGTTTGTCAGTGAGGTCATGATCCTCATATGCCTACAAAACTGGAATTTTGCATTGCTAGTACTCATTCCATGGTAATATCTAACAATTTATTCACTTGATGATGTTTATTTGATCACCTTTACTTCTCAAAAACTACGGTAGCCTGAATTTGTTTCCCTTATCAATCATTAATCAACATTTAATATAATAAAAAATGAATTACTAAGAATTTCTTTGCCTGTAGTTATTGTGGTAGAATCAGATTGCCCTAAAAGTTTCCAAATGGTTCATGGCTGCGGTAAATTACTTGGTGTTTATTTGTTGGTGTGTCTTTGCTGTTGTTTTGTTCTGCTTTTGATTGTTCTAAATGATTATAACGCATCTAGCTTCAGTCAGTTGGTGAGCATCACTGAACTAAACAGTGGGGACTTCTGTCACAGGGATCTTCAGTAGATGCTTTGTTCAATACCTCTGATGGTTTCTTGTTCCCTTGAACCAGCTTATCCCATAAATACAACCAAACTAAGCCATTCTTAGCAAAGACCTTATTTCTCCTTTCTTTTTTTCTCTCTCTTTTGAGGTTTTTTTTTTCATTTACAAATATGATAGTTACTGGCTAATGTGATCAAATGAATGAAAACCTCTTGGGAAAGGACTCCTGAGCCTTCATATGGGTAGGATCCAGAGGGTACCCTTGATATTGGACTCCAGAAATTCGTGCTGTTCTTCAGTGTATTCATTAGCAGACATGTTGGTATGATGTCTTTATACCTTGCATTTTTAACTTAACAGATAAAACACTTGTGTGTGTGTGTGTGTGTGTGTGTGTGTGTGTGTGAGAGAGAGAGAGAGAGAGAGAGAGAGAGAGAGAGAGAGAGAGAGCAAAGATCTGAGTCTTCCTTACTTGGAATTTTTAAACCTAAATTAAATAGCTTTAATGTCATACCCTCTAATTTCTCAGTGATGGCTACTCAATACTAACAAACTTCTAACAGGTGGTGGTTTTAGAAGAAACAGCAGGTGTTGTGGCAGCCAGGAGAAAAAAAAAACACATAGGATGCTGTGTACCATGGAAAGAGGGAGATGGGAAGATGGGGGAATGAGATGATGGTGTGTTTCATGATGGCTCTTATTGGTTTCTGTGGTTTATGTGGCTCGTTGAACTCCATAGGCTGTGATCTTAAGGTGCGTGTGAGTTGACCTATAGTTTTATGTTCGGGATGCCTGGGCAGAGCGTGGAGAAAGCATGACTATGCTTGCTGCTCAGACTGGGGTTCAGCTTAACAGAAATGAGCAATCCCAAGAGCTGGCTGATAGCAAGAGGGCAGCACATTGTTCTAGAAACCGTTCTAATCAGTGTCCTCACTGTGGTGTATCACAGAGTAGTGTCAGGGAGTCCTGTGGGGGCAGCCAGAGATCTGAAGCATCACAGCCTTAGACTTGAAGAGGGCTTCTTGGAACCTTCATAAGTTGTCTTACACGTCTCTTCTGATTTCTTATTTGTTTAACGTTCCCCATACTCTGGATTCTATCGTGGTGGCATGGAGCGGGGGCGTTGCTGTCAATGAAATAGTGCATATAAAATCACAATTTGCTTTTTTACGTTCCTACAGCTCCAACATTTTCTTCTGTTCCCCACTTTCCAAAACCAAGGCTCTAAGATTAGTAGTTACCAGTGACCGTTGTCTGGTAGCTATTTCAGCACTCCAGAATCTTCTGAAGTTCCTAGCTACCCATGCCAAACTATGCTTACTTTAAACAGGGAGTCTGAGAACATTTCGTCTTAAAACCAATTGTTTCTATATGATGGAGAGAGGGCAAGAATTTTGTAGCTTTCATAGGAATGCACAGCCACACTTACTGACTCTATAAACTGATTTGAGGAATGGTATAATCTATCCAAGCGACTTTTAAAACATAATTCAGATCACTCACACTAGCTGTGATGGTTAAGAACATGAGTGGTCTAGAGGGAAGTTCATACCCCAAGGCTGAGGTTAGACTTTTCCATCTCAAAAACGGTGAAGATTCCTTTATCCTCACCCTCTTCCCTAGAGTAACATCTTGTGTAATCATAGCACAGTTGTTGAAACAAAGGAATCAAGATTGATATAGTACTGTTATCAAATCTAGAGTCTTTCTTTCTACACGTTCTGCTACTTTCCCCACCAATATGTCTTTTCTGATCTAATATCCCTAGCACCATACAATTATGTCTTCGCCACCTGCCCTCTAACTGTTGTACTTTGAAGAGTTTTATCCAGTATGTTATAGACTGCCCCTCAGCTTTGCTTTTCCTAATCCTTTCTTATGATTGCGTTGAAGGGAAAATGTTTTTAAGACTGCCCTTCCCAATCATCCTATGTCATCAAGAGTACAAGATGGCCTATACCTCCCTCCACTGGGCTTAACTTTGATCCCTCTCTCAATGCAGCATCATGTCTGCTTGACTTGAGAAGGATGTTTCATGAACTGCATTTAATTCTTTCCTATGGTGTCATATTAGATTGCTCCAGTGTAAACTTAGGGTTTTTGTCTTTGTACCCAGTAAGTAAGTCATTTTTAAGTTTGATTTGGTTTTGAACCCAAGGCCGCACACATGCTAACCAGTTTCCTGTAGCTGAACCTCTTGCCCAACTCCCCCAGCACCATTTTGGTTTTCTAGGTTTTGTACGTTCTTAAGTGATGGTCAGAGTTGGAGCACGTGTCATACACAGAGGGCTACAACGATCCCTGATCCTGGGGGTTCTAAGAAATGATGCCTTAAAAAAAAATGTACACAGTCATTGTTTAGCTGTTTGAATAGATTTCTCTCAACCCATGCTATAATGGATTGCCTGACATTACGTTGCAGTATTCTTAAGTCCTACCTCCAGGCAATCTCATAGTTACTAGCAAAAATGAAAGTGTGAAATGCTTTTTAATGTATATTTAACAACACGCAGTCTGATGATGGCTGATGTGTCGTCTCTGTGGACTCCCTTTGCTCTTGGAGGAGGATGCCGAGAGACAACGCTTCACGTGTATTCCATCTAAAATCCTCACGTGCTTACTTTTCAGGTATCTATTCCTGTCCTTTCAACAAAATCCTAAGATGTCATATACTTTAAATATACGTCAAACTTTAAATGGCTGGGTTACAGCCAGTTTTTCAAGAAGAGGAAAGGTAGCTTTCACAAGTGATGTTTCCTTTACTCCACCTCATGAAATTGCCTATTCTTAACCAGCATAAAAATACAGCCTTTTAAAAAAGACAGTATGCAGTGGAGTGATGGACTTTTGAGGGGGAAATACTCTTTCACTCATTTCTATTTTTTTTAACTATTCCAAAAGCCACATTAACTCCCATTTAAAGGAATTTCCACCACTGAGTCTAGCGTCATGTCTGCTTGACTTGAGAAGGATGTTTCATGAACTACACTTAATTCTTTCCTATGGTGTCATTATTTAACAAAGATTAGGGTCCAGGTGTTTTGCATTTATACTAGGCTGCACATATTAATATATGCTAAAGAGTTGCATAGTATATAGATCATTGGTGTTAAAATGGCAGTACTGAAGGCATTTTAGATCACAGAGCTCCAGTGGTCCACATTTTGTTTGCCTTGACATTATTAAACCCAATCTGTTTCTGTAGCTGTGACTGTAATTGCTGCATTGGCATGGCAGAAAGTTTGCTTTGTATGTTAACTTTTATTAACACTGCTCGCATGCCATTTTCTCTTCTTGCTTTCCGTTGCATACGCTGCCAGAACACCTTCAGTTGCATTAAATAATTATGCACAATCAATAAGTTTTTTTTTTTATTTGTCTTTGTTGTTTCTTTGATGTGGCCTGTAGGACGCTGCTGGCAAAGTTCTGGACCGCTGGGCCATCATGTCTCGAGAAGAGGAAATCATCACCCTTCAGCAGTTTCTGCGGTTTGGAGAAACCAAATCCATCGTGGAGCTGATGGCAATTCAGGAGAAAGAAGGGCAAGCTGTGGCCGTGCCATCTTCAAAGACAGACTCGGACATACGGACTTTCATTGAAAGCAATAACCGCACCAGGAGCCCCAGCCTCCTTGCTCACTTAGAGAACAGCAACCCTTCCAGCATCCATCATTTTGAGAACATACCAAACAGCCTTGCGTTTCTGCTTCCCTTCCAGTATATAAACCCCGTCTCAGCCCCGCTGTTAGGGTTGCCTCCCAATGGGCTGCTGTTAGAGCAGCCTGGACTGAGGTTGCGGGAACCCAGCATTTCAACTCAGAACGAGTACAATGAGAGCAGTGAGTCGGAAGTATCCCCCACACCTTATAAGAGTGACCAGACACCCAATAGAAATGCCCTGACGAGTATTACTAACGTGGAGCCTAAAACTGAGCCAGCTTGTGTCTCCCCTATTCAGAATTCTGCCCCAGTCAGTGACCTAAGCAAAACTGAACACCCAAAAAGCTCCTTCCGGATTCATCGTATGAGAAGAATGGGGTCAGCCTCGAGGAAAGGAAGAGTGTTCTGTAATGCGTGTGGGAAGACCTTCTATGACAAAGGTACACTCAAAATTCACTATAATGCTGTCCACCTGAAGATTAAACATCGATGTACCATTGAAGGTTGCAACATGGTCTTCAGTTCCCTTCGAAGCCGGAATCGCCACAGCGCAAATCCCAACCCCCGCCTTCACATGCCTATGCTAAGGAATAACCGAGACAAAGATTTGATTCGGGCTACGTCAGGGGCTGCCACTCCAGTCATAGCTAGTACAAAATCAAATCTCACACTCACAAGCCCTGGCCGGCCCCCAATGGGTTTTACCACTCCTCCACTGGACCCCGTCTTACAGAACCCTCTCCCTAGCCAGTTGGTATTTTCTGGGCTAAAGACTGTACAACCAGTTCCTCCTTTTTATAGAAGTTTACTTACTCCAGGGGAAATGGTGAGTCCTCCAACCTCCCTCCCAACCAGTCCCATCATCCCAACCAGTGGTCCCATAGAGCAGCACCCTCCTCCACCCTCTGAGCCAATAGTGCCAGCAGTGATGATGGGCACTCATGAGCCCAGTGCTGACCTGGCACCTAAGAAAAAGCCTAGGAAGTCAAGCATGCCTGTAAAAATTGAGAAGGAGATCATTGATACAGCGGACGAGTTCGATGACGAAGATGATGACCCTAATGATGGTGGAACTGTGGTGAATGACATGAGCCATGACAATCACTGTCATTCCCAAGAGGAGATGAGCCCAGGCATGTCTGTGAAGGACTTCTCTAAGCATAGTAGGACCCGGTGCATTTCAAGAACTGAAATAAGAAGGGCTGACAGCATGACATCTGAGGACCAGGAGCCCGAGCGGGACTATGAGAATGAGTCTGAGTCCTCAGAGCCTAAACTTGGTGAGGAATCCATGGAAGGGGATGAGCACATTCACAGTGAGGTGAGCGAAAAAGTCCTGATGAACAGCGAGAGGCCTGATGAGAACCACAGCGAGCCGTCTCACCAGGACGTCATCAAGGTAAAGGAAGAATTCACAGACCCCACTTACGACATGTTTTACATGAGCCAGTATGGACTGTACAATGGCGGGGGGGCCAGCATGGCTGCCTTGCATGAAAGTTTCGCATCGTCTCTGAATTATGGAAGCCCTCAAAAATTCTCCCCGGAAGGTGACCTGTGTTCTAGTCCAGACCCCAAAATCTGTTATGTGTGCAAGAAGAGCTTCAAAAGCTCCTACAGTGTGAAGCTTCACTACAGGAACGTTCACTTAAAAGAGATGCACGTCTGCACAGTGGCTGGCTGCAATGCTGCCTTCCCCTCTCGACGAAGCAGAGACAGGTCAGTAAATCTCCATTGGCTGCTCCTGCTGAGGGTGGGGGTACAGAGTCAGTCATAGTGGACTTAAAAGTTAGATGTTTTGATGCATTGTAAGGATTGCCCGTATTGACCACATGATCACTAAGCTGCCATGTTCATGTAGCATTTATGCAGTCAGTGCTTGTTGTGATGAAGCATGCAGAATCTCATGTCATCTTACCTAGTAATGCACGCCATTTTCCTCTGTGTATGTGTATATGTGTGTGTACATGTATGTTTCCATGCATCTAGGTGTGAATAAGTTAACAGTATACAATTCCTTGCCTCCCCATGAACCTTTCCTTAGAAGCCACAGCTTCTATCATATACATATGAGATATATATATATATATCATAAATATATATACTTCTGCTGTGCCTTGTGGCTTTTAATTAAACCAATATATTATCTTCATATACACATATTTATTCAATATAGAAACAGAAATTTATGGATGGAAAGAACCATAGGTCCAGGACATCGAGACAGCCTGCATCTCCGTAGGTATAACCAGAAATATTATCATTCCTTACATGAGTATTTAGTTTGTCCTTCAGTTCCTTAAGAATCATGAAGCTATCAGAAGACAATGAGGCCAAAGTAATTGTTGATATGGGGAGAGAGTATGGTTGTGTGGGTTTCTTTATTTCAACTCCATGGTGTCTTTGATCACATCCCTAAAATGTAATCTGCCATGGAACTTCACCACAAAAGGGGGGCATGCCTAAATAAATGCTTTAGATCAGTTAGAATTCTCTGAGGACAGCCCTCAAATGACATTAGCTCTCTAGTTTTGTGTCTATAGTTCTGAAACCATGGAATGTAAGCAGAAGCAGCTGACCCTAAACCTACCATATTCTTTATCAATCCTCTTACAATATGAATGGAATGTCAGGGTGGAAATTCAGTGGTGGGACAACAAGATGATCTCATCATTTATGGAGGATGAGCCTTGGAGCAAGTTTGTTTTCTTCATAGTACCCCAGCCCAGCTCATGTTACCATCCTTCCTCTTTCAAGGGATGTGTGTTTTGGTTCTACACTAACCTTTTAAATATTTTCAGACAAAATTTTCTTTCACAGTTTAAAATATATGTAGAAAACAATGAATGAAGTTTCCAAAGATCTTCCACCTTACTCTGTGTTTATTAGTTGGATAGAGGTCTTTGACCAAGCAGAAGGTGGTGAGGGTTCACTGGGGCTGCTGTGGCAGGACACTTGGGAGAGTGGGGAATAGCCAGTTTGACTCCAGTCTGAGCTGTACACCTATATCCTGTCTTAATTTAAAAAGAAAAAGCATCACCACAAAGCAGTGACCTGTCTCTGCAGCATGTTCACATATGTAAGATCCACCCCTTTTTAATGGATATACATATTGTCTTTCTTTTTACTGACACGGAAGGAGCCAAGTCCTATTCTTTTAATGATGTTTTTCTCCACTATCTTGGCTCTATTAAAAAAAAAGGATTCTTGTGTTACCATTATATTCAGTTCTAAATTTTTATTGACAGTCCCAGAAAATACCAGATAAGATGCTTACTCTTTGATTAATAAATGCAGTTCCACCCCCATTCCTTTTTTGGAATAATATTCTTTTGGATTGCAAACAGTATATTAGTGATGATGAGGTTAATGTATTGAAAAAAATTTCATTGAAATTTTTTAACAAATAGACTTGTGAAAACTTGCATGAAATATTTATGAAAATGGAGTATTTGAAGACAAGCCAACATTTTAAGCTTATTTGCATGAATTCCTTTCACATTTTGGTTTGCTGAAAACATCACAGTTCATAACGCTGGAATAAATAGCAAAGGGGAAGAACCCGAGCCTGGAGCTTTCACAAATGCACAGTCAGTACTGAACGCTAGAACACACTAAGAGCTGCTGTGTCTGTGTCCAGACACAAAGGGAGGTGCTGCTGAGACAGAATTGTTTGTCTCCGGGGAAGTACTTGCTGACAGAAAAGGGTTATTTTAGTTGCCATTTTTATTGTCAGGACTTGGGAGATTAGCCAGTGCCAGCTACACAGAAGTTAGACCAGTGATCTTCCAAGTACAGGAGGAGCACAGACAGGCTGTTTCAAAAGACAGTGGATACATTGTTGAGGGTGAAATAGTATACCATATCTAGTCTTTTTCATTTTAGAGTTTGTCCTGTGACAAATGACAAAATAGAAATTGAAAAAAGATAAAGTGAATTTTTTTTATTCTTGAAATTTGGCTTTCTAAAAACCACACAGATTGTTTTTTAGCCCAAGCTAAATCCTTAAAAAAATAATAAAACAAAATAAAAAGTTGGGCCTTTATTTTTTTTGCCAAAGGAAAATATTCATCCTGTTGAAATGATGACTTGAATTGACACAGTGATGTGTGACTAACTGGCACCAGAGTACCAAGACACAGTAATGCCATTGAATTGCCAGCCTCTTCCTGAATCTCTGCACAGTGGACTTGGGAACATAATTAGATTTCCCTCTCAGACGTAATCATTTCATCAATGACTGTCAGCCAGTGGTTGTGCCTCCTGTGCACAGGGACTTTGAAGTCTCATCTGTTATCTGTTTCGAGTCTTCTCTTTACTACTAAACTCAGAAAGCCTGTGTTCCTCTTTTAATCAAACGATGAACTAAAACAGTGACGAGCTTTCTTACCTTTCTCTTTAGCCAACAGACCTTCCCAAGACACTCTCCTTTGTCTTTAGACCTTCTCTCTCCAAACCGTTTCTTTCTACACAAGGAGGCCTGACTTCATCCTTCCTTGACTACGCAGTGTCTTCCTTGTACAAATGAAGCAGTCGAGAGGAAGTTCCAGTGTGGAAAATATCCCCATGGTAGCTGAAGTTTGCAGGGCTCCTAGAACACCCTGCGTTTCCTCCTTTCTCCTGTTTGCCAGTGCAACTGCCTTGTCCTCCAAACTGCAATATCTTATAGGAGCTGAAAGCAGCTTCTGAGATGAGTATGCATGTAAGGGTGCATTGTGGTCCTCGGATGAGCATGTTAGGATGAGATAGAAAAACAGTGCTATGTTTTAGGTTTGACAGTGAGAGAAAGACATGCATGCAAAGGATGACAACAGACAGAAACATTATCAAAGGTGTCCTTCTATGTGTAGTTGCCAATAATGGTGTGTTTGTTCAATTCAGAAGTCAGAAGGACCGTTCCACATTAATGACAAAGAGCAAGCTAATGTGCACGACTGCTTCCCCTCCTCACCACCCGTTGTAAGAATGACCTTTATTCTGAATGATTGAAGTGAAGGAAGAGTGTTTCCTCTGTAAAGAGCTCTGATGCTCCGAGATGATTGTCAGATTCTTTCTTTACGTATCCCTTGATTTTCTGCTGCTGGGTTGTTCCTCTGTCAGGGAACGTGTGGAACTATACATATGAGACACTCCCTGGGTAGAAGTTCTAACCATGTGGCCTGGAGCTGCAGTATTCATAAAAGCATGCTAGTCACACTCCGCAGACCTTAGTTTACCTGTGCTACTTTCTCATCCTCTGACTTCATTGTTGCACGGAGTGAGCCACTTGTTCATCCCCGCCACCCAGACCGAAATAACCACACAGGAACTGTATTAATTAAGACACTGCTTGGCCCATTAGCCCTAGCTTCTTATTGGCTAAGTCTTACATATTAGTTTAACCCATTGCTATTAATCTGTGTATTGCCACAAGGCTGTGGCTTACCAGGTAAAATTCCCAGCATCTGTCTCCAGCGGCTCCATGGCATCTCTCCTACCCTTCTTTCTCCCAGCATTCAGTTCTGTCTTCACTGCCTACCTAAGTTCTGCCCTATCAACAGGCCAAAGCAGTTTCTTTAATTCATTAACTAACAATAGCAACACAGAGACAGAAGGACCTCCCACACAACTTCATATTTAGAAGGGTTCACTGGCCACTAACCTATGCAGAAGAGAAACCCATACATTGTTTGTTTTTTTTTTTAATTCGAGGGGAGTAGGAAGCAAACAAACAGCTGAATCCATATCCGTCCTTTTCCTAACCTTCCTCGTCATTTCCTAGTGTGCTGTTTTATTTGTATTTGCTTTGGTGATTGGAAATTTAAAAATGAAGACCTTCAGAAACGAGATGGTGTGTTGTACAGAAAGAAGTTAGCATCCTTGTGAACTTCTCCCTCTTCATAGATGATGTGTTGTACAGAAAGAAGTTAGCATCCTTGTGAACTTCTCCCTCTTCATAGATGGTGTGTTGTACAGAAAGAAGTTAGCATCCTTGTGAACTTCTCCCTCTTCATTTGTAACCTTCTCACAGCAATTGCCAAAGTTTGCCATAGATTTTATCAGGAAGGCAAGAGCCTCTTCCTGATCTTTAAGGTGTGTGGAGGTTGTTTCAGCCAGATGAATACATTTTAAAACAAAATAATATCTGCCTAGGGTGATTTATAAATAAATATGAGGCAACCATTGGTGCCAAGTGTGAGCCTTCTTTTTGATTGCTAGTTAAATCAGTGCAGATTTAAACATGTAAACTTCTTGATTTGTATGGAGTAAGACATCTGTATTTGGTTTATTAAAACCTGCTGATGCCTCCAGAACTAAATTTGTTCTCGTATAGGCCTCTGGGTAGCCATAGCTAAACAGCAGAGATGTATAGTTTCTGCTCATCTTATTACCTGACTTCCAGCCCTATACAGGTGTGCAGGAATAAATTAACATGAGCTGCTCTGATGAGCCACTGCATACATTAACAGCAGAGGTGAGGATGCGAAAACGTGCTACCTGCCTCCTGTTTTCACCTTCTCACCAAAGCAGCATCCATTTTTTCCATCATTCTCTATGTTTGGAAACTTATAGAGAACTTTTATAGAGAGAGCTTTTCAATAAATACCAGGCGATACCTCCAAGAAACGAGCCACTTAGCACCAATTCAAGGGAACTATTAGTATATGTGCCCTAATGTAATTAGCTGTCAAACAGTGTGCTAATCCTCAGAGGAGAGCCTCTTAATAGATGACTGCTTC